AGGCAAAAACAAAGAGGCAAGAGCAGCGCCAAGAGCTGGGCGCAGCGCACAGAGCGAGGCAAATAAATTGCAGCTGCTCTCGACCAGGGCGATGAAATACAAATAGAAATACTTGGCAGCTACCGTTGGCGTTGAATGTTGAACATTGCCAGTTGCCAGTTGCCAGTGTCCAGTTGGAGCACGTTGCACGTTGCACGTTGCGCCTTGCCGGCAATGAAGTTGCCACATTGCCAGAACGATACACAGTGAGAGCATCATCATGCACTTCACATGTCCTTTAGCTTGTTTGTCTTTCACTCTGTCGCTCTGCGCTCCACAGCGCGTTCTCAACTGAAGTTGTTTGGCCAGACGACGCAGCCAACTTCTTTTTGTACTCATCTCCGCTCCCCACCCTTCCCCTTCTCGATCCGTGCTCGTTCCGACCAGTTGTCGAGCATACAAATCCAAACGAGCTGGCGAATCATGACCATTTGGGCATAAAAATTACCTTGCCTTGCCTTGTCTCGAGTCAGTTTCATATTATTCTGCGTCTGCTTTTGCTTCTGAGTCTGCTTCGGTTTGATGTTGACCTTCTATGGCCTGTGTGTGTTACCTGACTGCAAGCTCTGTGATTTAATCAGTTGCATGCTGCAAAGCTGCTAGCTCATTCCATCATGTTGCAATGGCTCTTGACTTTTGGGTTTGGCTGCTCTCGTGTCTGGGCACGACTTACAGCCCGAATCAAATGTGTTTAAATTGAATACGCTTGAGTTATGATGCCCAGGACATTAGCATGCGCCACAGTCTCGTCGCTGGCCGGATTCAAATTTGCAGCAAATAAAAACTTTTCCTTTTTAGGGGTAAGCATGCCATAGTCAAAGGCACAACCCTTGCTAACCCCCGGCCTCTCACAAAAGTGTCCTAAATCAGCATCAGCTTCAGCTCAGTGGCCACCAATGTCATCATCAGTCGCGGGCAGAGACAGCTCCGCCCCCAGACATTGATAATAATAAAACTGTCTGTCGTCGTTCCCCAAAATTGGCAGTCAACAGTCTCTCCCTGGTCTTATCCCTGGCTGTGTCTGTGGCCTACTAGTAGTCTTCCGTCTGCGTTTAATGCACAACATATTCATGTGTCAAAAGACAATTTCGGATTTATGGCCTGCAAAATCCCCAGGCTGACGACGACCAAATGACGCATTGTGGGCGGGCGCCGAATGGAATCCGTTGCAAAGGAAAGGAAAAAAAAAAACAGAAAATAAAATATGTTAAGAAAGCATAAAGTGATATCCACTAGCTGTGAGCTGGGCGAGACATACATTCAAATCTCGCTCAGCCATTTGGTTTGCATAAATTAGGACCAATGTGGGGGGAACGAACGGATTGCTTCGGTTGGCCAGGGTTCCACTGGCGGGTTAACATGATCCCTGCGTATTTGGGGCGCTAAAATTGCCATTTTTATTCCATTTTTCTCAGTTTTTTTTGTTGTTTTATTTTATTTTTTTTTGCACATAGAAAGTTTTGGTTTATGCGTCTGCTCTGGTATTTTAGGGTTGTAATTGAAATTAAATAGATGTCGTGCCATGAATTCAAATCGCTTTGCTCCTGACACCATCTTGGATGGAAATGGAAATGGGACTTAAAGAGTTAAAGAAACAATAACAAGAAAGTGTAGAATTCGCTTAAAATGAAACATCAAGCTTAAGCAGTGCCTTAAATATCGCCTCAGCAACACAAAGTAAATAGTTGAAAAACATTTGGTTAGCGAGTTTTGTTTTGGGTTGGCTTGAATGTTCTGAAACAATAGAAATTTTGAAGAATAACTAAATGCTATTTTCAACTTACAAGTTGAATTACCTTGGAATTTAACTCCTTTAATTTATCCTAACTTATCTTATTTTAGTATACCCATATAAGCTTTGTGCACAACACACATTTAACTTGTCCTATCTTATTTTACCCAAAGTGTTACATGCACAAATTAAATTATTCCACAGTACAGTGTCATAAACAATAGCTTCAGGAATTTCAGGCAACCCAGTTCTGCACACAAATATGTTCGTATAATCTTAACTATACACGGTACATTGATCCTTTGAGCTAAACACACTTGCTTGCTTTTCTCAGAGTGTGTATTTATAGTATATACACCGAGTTGCTTTCACTTAAAGCCACCCCCTGTTTGGTTGCCACTTTTGCATTTCACTTTATCAGCATCTTGCCAAACATTATTCCTATCTACTATCTGCTATCTGCTAAACTCCATTCTCTGTTCTTTTCTGTTTGGTCCATTCTCTTGTCAGCTTCCACATTTTCACGCTTTTGAAATTTGTAGCACTTTAAGCATATTTTCGCAGCTTCTCCTACACTTTTGGCGCAACTTTTACTTTTCTTGCTCACACAAATTTATGTCAGTATCACTCGACGAAGTTGCGAGCAGCAGCTAAGGGTGAAGGTGTCTCGTTCTGGTTAATGAAAATCGATTTTGCCTTCGTCTGGGCAGGTGACAGGCGGAAGTGGAAGGTATTCCAAAAGTGATAAAGAGTGTGGGGTGGCATCGACTTCATTTGTTGAGCAATCAGCTCTAATTAGTCCAGGCACTTGAGATGCAAAGCGGGTTTGCCCCGAATGGTGTGGGTCAACTGAATAATTTGCTATTATTTGTCTATAATTGCGTGTGCGTGGGGCAGGGGACTGCAAAAATGTTGATGCCTGTGGAATTTTAATTGTAAATGTTTAACACAATGTACAAGCCGGCAGACTGGTAACTGCTTGACTTCTTTGCCCTTTAAGCGATTAGCTTTTATATTTTAGCTTTTCCTGCTTTATATTTTTGGTGATTAAATGCGCTGCTTTTGCAGCTCACATGTCTGCTGCCCATTAACCCTTTGCAGCGTTATCACAACTTTGCTATCTATCTACCTTAGTTCATTATGCGACAGTATTCATAACTGCAAAACGTCATAATATTTCACCAACCCCATCCTTCCCTCCCCCAACACTTTTCCGCCCCTTCTTTTAAATAAAAAAGTGTGGTCCACCAGCAGCCGCTTTCACTAATTACATTTTCAGAGTGCAAACGAAGCGTGCGAGCAACGAGAAAAGGGAACTAGAACGTAGCCGGGACTGAGTATGCTCCACTAATTAGTACGATATATATATGTGCATATATATATATATATATATATATGTCTGTGTGTGTGTGTATGTGCATAGTATGTGGATGAATAAGTGGCATAAATTAAAATAAAATGTACAAGTATAAAATGTTACTGCGACGTCGACTGCGATAAAAATCTAAAATAAACACCGCTCGCTGCGGCAAGCCGCGGCCCCGTGAGCGAACTGAGCCATGCAACATATGTATGTGCTGCAACAGCAGTGAGGCAACGAAGTAACAGCAACAGCAACAGCAACAACAACAACCATCCACATTAATTAAGCATAAACATTTAACCTGCCCCGAGACACGCCTCCGACAGAGCGTCGCGTGTCCGCGACTCATGGAAGGGTCCGCTTTGTGTTTTGTTCAAGTCGCCTTTTTGTTTTGTATTTTTTTTTTTCGTTATGTATACATAATTTGATTGATTTATTGAGCCCACGCCAGAGCGGCAGAGGAATGCAGCAAGCGGCAAGTGCAGTCAGAGCAGGTATCCGTTTAGGGCGCCAGCTGTAGGCCGATCCCCAGGAGAGCGACTCATATTCTTTCAGTTAATTTAATTAAATGCATTGCGAGGGGCACCGTGGCAAGTGAGCATTGAGCATGCAACAGCGAGCAACAACTGGTTGCAACATAGCTGTCACAACTATCAGTTATATGTATCTGATAGATTACCAGCTGCTATTGCGGTAGACATTTATTGAAACATATTCTAAATATATGTCGAGGCCTTTGAATATGTGTGAGATTAGTGTGGAGCATGTGAAAGTGATATTAAATAACCGCCAACTAATTGACATAAAATGCAAATCTTATTGCAGCTCACAGCTAGCAAACATGAAATAGTTATCGTAAATAGGCCCGTTTATAGTCAGGTGAATTTTTGGGGGTAGATATCGGGCTTATAGGTTTAATTATTGCTCATGTTCATGTAAGAGTGCAATTAACTCACAGTTATTTGATATGCCAAGCCAATGTTATTGAAAACAACTGGCTAACATAAAAGTCTAGCTGTAGAAATGAAATCAAATGTGTATGAATATTTATTAGAGTTGTGTTATCAGATAAACGACGAGGTATTTTTTCATTGCGATGTATTTAATTGCTTTGTTGTCATGTGTTTGCTTCAAATAATATGGATTTTAGTAAAAGAAACTTAACTTAAAATACAGTTGCAAATATCAGATGGCTAAATTAGTGTTGGGTTAGTAAACTGTTAGTTAACTGACATCTTCACATAGATACCATTTCAGCTTTGCGTAACAGAATATAGGATAAACTAATCACTGTTAATTAGCATTAAATGTTAGAGATATGTTAGGAGAAATACTTTTGGGACAATTGGTTATAGTAAAAATAAGTATTAACATTATCAATTGCACAGTTTAGCTCTTTAAAGTGGAATTCTTAAAATTACCTCAGCTTTTTTTTTGCTGCCAACTTATTTGTCGCTTTTGATTGATTAAGGGGAAATGTAAGAAACGCTTGTTTGGCATTCGAAGCCGTTGCGGGGGTTCAGCTATTTAACTCCTTCAATATGTCACCAAAGTGTCTAAGTGGACAGATAATGCGGAGTCTAGCGGCAAGCATCCTGAAAAAACAGGCTGCAAGCATCGTGGGCACCGTTCAAAGAAAATCAATTTGAAAAAGTAAAGAAAACTGTTATCCCTGGTGATTGATTATGCAGTCGAGTCGAGTGACTGGCCAAAAGCTGCTCGATTTCGATTGGGTCACCAAGCGTATCATTAATTTCCACAACGGCGGGATACAACACAAATAAAATCGGGCGGGAAGGGTGTCATTGAATGCGATGTAAGCAGCCAGTTCGGACATGCATCTCAAATGTTTTCCTTTCATTGCAGGCGTCTCCGCGGAGCTTTACTATGTGCGGGAGGGGGCCATCAACGATTACGCCCTGAACTTTGCAGTACCCGTGCCGGCGAACATTAGCGATGTTACCTTTACCTGGCAGTCGCTGGTGGAGCATCCGCTGCCCTACAGCATCAGTGTGGCCACTTCGGATGTGGGTGTGTTGCCGCGCCCTATGTTGAATATCTCGCGTATCGGCGATGTGCCCCAGGAGCCGCAGACATGGGGCGTTAGTCTGAAGTGTTCGGGAACACGGGCGGCCGAAGTGACCGTCACTATTAGTGTGGAAGTCATCCTGGATCGAGCGACCAACAATAATACGAATTTGATCTTCAAACGCAAAAAGATTTGCCTGAAGGATGAGCACAACGATGCACGCGAGGAATACGACGATGAGGAGCCTTTGCATCCAGATCTGAGTGGTCACGATGACGTCCACTATACGGAACACAATGAGGATACGGCCGAGCATGTCATATCCGATGGCCATTTGCCATCGAATGTGGAGCATGGCAAGGGCACTGACAGACATCGAGTGCTGGTAACGGAACCCACTGTAATTGTGGGTCGCGGTTCGGGTGGTGTAAACACAAACAATGAGTATGATCCACTGTTGCGGGAGACTCTCGTGCCACCAACCAGTGGCTTAATTACTCTGATTGTGGGTGGTATTCTGGCCTTGGTCCTTGTGTCCACACTCATTTTGATTGCGTACTGTGCCAAGGGTCCCTCAAAGCGTCATCCCTCCAACGGGGTCCATCTGATTAAAACATCCAGCTTCCAGCGTCTGCCAACCATCTCGTCTACGGCCCACAATTCGATCTATGTCTGCCCCTCGACCATAACACCCACATATGCGACATTGACGCGGCCCTTTCGCGAATATGAGCATGAGCCTGAGGAGTTCAACCGCCGTCTCCAAGAGCTGACAGTCCAAAAGTGCCGCGTTCGCCTCTCCTGTCTCGTTCAGGAGGGCAACTTTGGGCGCATCTATCGCGGCACTTACAACGACTGTCAGGAGGTTCTGGTCAAGACTGTGGCACAGCATGCAAGCCAGCTACAAGTGAATCTCCTGCTCCAGGAATCCATGATGCTCTACGAGGCCACACATCCCAATCTGATGACCGTACTCGGCATTTCCATCGAAGACTTTGCCACACCCTTTGTGCTCTATGCTGCCACTGGCAGTGTTCGCAACTTGAAGACTTTCCTGCAGGACCCCTCATATGCCAGAAGCGTGACCACGATTCAAACAGTGCTAATGGCCTCCCAACTAGCCATGGCCATGGAGCATCTGCACAACCATGGTGTTATTCACAAGGACATTGCGGCCAGGAACTGTGTGTAAGTAGAGATTATCTCATTGTCTGAAGAGAGAGAGAGAGAGAGAGAGGGAGTGCAGCCCAATCTGTAATTTGTAATCTGTCTAATCGACCACTTGCAACCCTCTTCTGTTTTGTTCTTCGGTTTCCTTTAGCATTGATGATCAACTGCGCGTGAAGTTAACCGATAGCGCCCTGAGTCGTGACCTTTTCTCCGGTGACTACAACTGCTTGGGCGATGGAGAATACCGACCCATCAAGTGGTTGTCGTTGGAGGCCCTTCAGAAGTCTCACTATAACGAGGGTAGCGACGTTTGGTCATTTGGTGTGCTCATGTGGGAGATGTGCACGCTGGGCAAGCTACCCTATGCCGAGATAGATCCCTATGAAATGGAGCATTATCTAAAGGATGGTTACAGATTGGCCCAGCCCTTCAACTGTCCCGATGAACTGTGAGTATCAAACGACGACTAACTACCAATTTCCCCTCCAAGACTCGCAGCAAACTCAACAAATACCTTCTGTGTTCTTTGCTCTTTTACTTACAGTTTTACTATTATGGCCTATTGTTGGGCTTCCATGCCTGCCGAGCGACCCTCATTTAGCCAGCTACAGATCTGCCTATCTGAGTTCCATACACAGATCACCAGATATGTTTAACCTGCGGTAATGAAGCACACCAAGACTTGTAAATACAACAAGAGGCGACGTCGGAAGATTTCGCAACAGACGACGTCTGCAACTCTGTTTCCAAAGACATATTTAAATTATAGCGCCTAAAGAGGGCGCCTAAGAAGCGATAGTGTGGTGGAGATGTGGTTACAAGTGTGGGCCCATTGTTTGTCCCCCACAATAAATAGTTACTTACCTATGTATAACGCGGGCGTTTGGAGACAATTTCGAATGGATGATAACAGTCTGGAAGCGGTTGACTACCCTCTCCCCTCTATAATTAGCAGTTAGGTTTAGGTTAGTATGTTAACATAAAAAAAAAAAGAAACAAGCGACATTTCGATGCAAGAAACGTAGTAGTTAAACTTAAACACCCACATAAATGTTGAAGGCACACATTAACAGATAAACCCAGTTAGGTTAGATTCCTCGTGGATCCCCAAATGACCTAAAGCATTTTGCATAACTTAACATTATATAGATACATACCTAAAGACAAGATCCATAATATAGTACACTCCCCTAGGCTAGGCAACAACGGGACGCTCTGTTGTAGTTTTGAGGAGCTCGATTATACATTCGACGTATATATAATAACAGCAAAAATATATATATTATCGAGTAAATGGTATATATTTAAATATATATATCTATGTAAATGTATTTATATGTGTATGTATATCTATGTCTAAGACCGTAGTGCTAGTAAGTTCGAATCTATTGTATTTAACTAATGTTAGTAAACAAAAAAAAGAAAAAAACCAACGGTGCACTGCAAAACTTCCCAATTTAGTTGAACCGCCTCCAACCACCAGCTAGAAAAAAGGAGGCACTTTCGAGTCGAACCCATTATTTGTGTTACTTATACAGCCGTGTCAAGAAAGTTTTGTAATATACTTAAGCATTTCGCATTAGTTTTAAGTTTCTCTTATGATTTTTATTTCTGGAAAAAATGAAAAAAATAAAAACGATTTCAATAAACGTCCGTGCATAACATTCAAAAGCCAAACAAATGCAGTTGTGAATGGAAATTGGAACGGGAACGAGAACGGCAACGAGAACGAGAACGGGAAATGGTGCGACATTTATGTAAAATATTCGAGTGTAAGTATATCGCTAACAATTGAGCCAGCTCCGCCTAACACTTACCCTAAAACAACTCGCCTAAGAGCAATGTGTTGTTTGGGTTTTGCACCATGGCGAACACGGCTGCCACAACGACGCGATGGGTGGTGGGGTTGGGTTAACCATCTCTAACCCAAACACACACACGCAGAGCCTCGAGGCAATCTCTTTGCCAGGCCAAGCGTGCTGGCAACACAAAAGGCATGTAATGCCCACAGCCTATTTGAGGAGCTGTAGCGAAGTCAGATTAGAAGTAGGAGCAGGAGCAGGAGTAGGCACAGAAGTAGAAGCAGGGGTAGGAGGTGTCTGCCCACACCTGTACGTGAAGCAGCCCGTGGAGCGCGTGCAGAGCTTATGAGGTAGATACGCTTTTCGGAAGGCATGCTCTTTGATGGTTGCACTGACACTACTTAGTTTTTGGCACGTCATGGCACCCGGCACGATGTTGGCTGTGTCCTTTTTAATATGCCTGTCACAGCGTCAGGACAGCGACTAGTTTCGTGTCCCTCCTGTTTTCGTTTATCTATTTTTTTTGTTTCCCATTTTTTTTTGACTTGGTCGTCTTTAAAAAGCGCTCAAAGAGCTCAGAGCTCGTTGGGCACGTGCCACAGCTGAAATGCGTAGCATTTAACTAAAGCCACTATCCCAAATCAAAAGCTAATGGGAAAAGCAGTTTCGGCAAATCCACTGAATACTTGCCACACACATAACTGTAAGGTTAAAGTGCCAAGGAGATTATAAGTAAATGCTCAAACTATCTTTATTTGAGTTAGGTTCAATTGTGTTAAAGACTTTTTATGCGCATGAGCATAGTGCAATAAAATTAATGTTAAAAGCTGCTCAGCTCTGTTAGATGATTTATAGTGATTAACGACATGAACAAATATATATTGCGGGAATTGCTGTAAGAAATAATCATACAAATGCTTTTAACTTCGAACTTTTTGGTTAGCTGATTCCAATTTGGCTGGCATATTTTATACTCCATAATTTGACCCCTTTTTTCTCAAAGCGGCATCAAAGCACTATAAAGATAGCTGCTCCATTCAAAGAGTTTTCGTTGCTTTTTTGAGTGCTCTCACAGCGAGTAGCTGAATCGAACAGCCGAAAGTCAAACTTTGAACAGTTTCGTTTCAATCAAATTAAAGCGCTCCAGCAAATTGACAAATGATATTAAGTTATTAAAAACGACGCGAGCAAAACGGGAATTTTTTTTTTATTTTTATTTTTTAGCAGAATGGGCTGAACTCATTGAAACTTGAACTAACACACACAAACGGAGGGAAAATGAACGGAAAATGGCATGAGAAAAGTGAAAAATTGAAAAACAAAAGGCAAACTGGGCAACTTTGTTGTTGGTCAACACTCTAAGCCAAAAATCAACAAATATAAAAAATTTCGTAGCACGTGAGGTAGCATTTCAATTTTTCAGTTGCTGTGTGGTGAGCGTCAAAAAAAGTTTGACAGCGTCCTATACCAAAAAAAAAAGAAAAAAAGCCACGCCCACGACACACTCCAAAAAGCCAACAGTAGCAACAACAATAAGAACAACAAACAAAATGACGACAGGTAGTCGTCAGTGGGCATTGTAAGGGACGCAGTTGCTCCCCGCGGAGCCATTGGCAGCCCTGCGGCTTTGCTGGGGTGATTTTTGAACTTTCAACAGATGAGCTCGACCAGTGGCCGGGTGGAATGAGTTCGCAACGCAAGTGCTGCAACTTTTTGTCAGAGTGGGTCGGTCGTTTGGACTCATGGCCTCAAAATTGATTACTTTGCAGAGCGACGCGCGACGCGCAATGCACGAAGCCAGTTTGAGTTTTTTGGCTGGCATTTTGAAGCTGTTGATTATGGCCACAAGGTATTAGCTGTAACATAAATATTTACTATTGAAATTATTAAGCAAAGTTTTCTGATATCAGTGGTTAACTGAGTGGCACAGGTAGAATGTCAAACTGGTTGGTTAGTTACCCTGTTTGAGTTTGGGGCAATGATTGTTCTAAGTTGCAGGAAAGTTTGATGTTTTTCTGATTGCAAAACTAATTAAAAAGTTGATGAAACTCATTTGGAATTGCCTTAAAGATTTAATTCGCTGTGGCAAGGGTGCAATTGAGAGTTTTTATTTAATGGTTGCCAAGGTGCAACCTGCTATTCCAGCGATAGCTAATCACAACTTTTCAACGACGTGCTCAACTTTAAGAATGCACATAATCAATGTCTAAGAATTTGACTTGAGTTGCTCATTGAACTCTCTTAAGGCGCTCGTCTTGCAAAGTTTTCAACGCTCCACCCCTGCCCCAGCTGCAAAATGCCAAATACGAAAATTGTTTTTCAATTTCTTTTCTAGTTGGCAATACACAAAACAAGCAGTAGCAGAAGGAAAAGCAGAAGCTGAAGCCAAAGCCGAAGCGCAAGCAACATTAGCATACAACTTTTCTTATTATTTTTATGTGAAAAATTTTCAAAAACCCACCAAGGGTTGAACAGAGAAAGAACAAGACAGCAAAGTAACAAACTGCAAGGCTAAGGAAGCGGAAACGGAAAGCATACAACGCAGACAAACGCCAACAAATTCAATGCTGGCTAAGAGGAATCGCCGAATTGCCATTGCCTTTTTATCTCTCGACGGGACTGTCGATGAGCTAAGCACTTGCAATTGGAATTGCCAACGATGTAGGGTTGAGGGTTGAGGGAACGACGCCGGAGTCGAAGTTGAGACCAGACAAAAGTGAAAACAGTCGCGTCGAGGCAAAATACATAATAATGACATGGAAGGAAATCATTTTCATTTTGCAAGCCTTCGCTTCATTGCGTCCTATGCCCAAACCCAAACCCAAACCCAAAATTCTTACCATTCCCTTTTACACTGGCGGAGCTTAGCTTCATTTTCGTCATTGGCTGTCGGTTGAAGTTAGCTGCAACTCCGCGGCGGGTGCCTCATTTGTCGCAAAGTTTTATTGAATTACTCGGGCGTGCCTCGGATCTGCCGTGAGCAGCGTTTGATGTGGAGACCTAGACCGAGAGTGAGAGAGAGAGAGCGAGACAGAGAGAGAGAGAGAGAGAGGTGTTGCGGATGATGACGACGACATCGCTGCCGATAATGGGAGTTGGCTTCTCTCTTGATTATCGCGCCTCTCCAAATTCATTAAAACTTTTTTTTCTTTATTCTTGTTTGCCACTGTCAATCGATTGTGGAGAGAAGAAGGCACATGGAACTGTGGCACCTGCAATCATTTTTCATTTTGAACAGCCGTTTGTCGTGTTGCCGTTTTGCGCCTTTGACTCGCCTTTGACTTTTTGCCAGCTGTCATTATTCATCCAAAATGTTTTCGCTTAGCTAGGCAAGCGTGTTGCCAGCCCAAAGTTTCCAAATTTCCCACATATGTCGCCAACTGCCAACTGCGGACTGGACCAAGGTCCACGTGTGATTAATTGTTGCAAGTGCTGCTGCTGTTTCTGCTCTTACTAAGGCTGCCCCAGTGGGGGTTTGGTTCGACTGTTTCGCCAGTTGAGTTATTGACATCGACACAAAATTCCTGGCCAGTGGCTCGTAAACCACTCCACACCACATAGGATCCAAGGGATAGGAGTAGGCTTTGGATGTTTTATGGCACAACACACTGAAAGTGTGCATTTAGTTAGGTAGCGATTGGAAGATGTAATCTGTTAAACATTGTCTGCATTAAGCATAATACTAATCAAATATTATTTATAGTCTTGCATGCGCATAAAATTATCTAAATCGAATAAAAATTAATAAAACTCATAAATAATATTTATTGATTGTAACAGTTGCGGGTTTTAAATCAAAGAAAACTTAACCTACTAAATTTGAATATGCATTTGTTTAAAATTTTCAAAGTGTATAGTAGCATTATGCTCGGATGGCTTTGTGCCCCAAACACCAGCAAATGCAACATCAATTTGTCGAATAAGCAACTTAATCATTTGGCATTGTCAATGGAGCTGTTGCTATTGTTGTTCTTGTTACTGTTGCTGTTATTGTTATTGTTGTAGGAATGCAGAGGCCTTTTTGGACGGCTGTATAATGTGGCCGTACAATGCAACAGAAGCGTTGCCAAGGCATTCATAGAATAAAAATTTTACAGACAACAGGCGATGGCATTGGGCGGACCATTGGAGCGACAAATGTGGCTATGCCACTTGCTGCCAAAATCAGTACAAACACACAGACATATAGAGACACCCAAATATACATATAGATCGAGTGTGTGTTGCAGACAAGTTGACTTGGCTTTGCTCCGGCCTCGACTGCAGTTGCACAATTTGTCGGCTTTCATTTTTGGCTATCCGCTTGCAAGCATATCGCCAAGCTGCTATATTGCCACATTGCCACATTGCCACTTGCTTTTATGCAACAAATCATTGGCATAATTTAAAGCTTCGCTCGATACTAATACTAGATGCTCAGTGCTTAGTGCTCAGTTCTTTCGTTGCTCTGTGCCTCTTGTCTCTTGTGTTACTTTTGGGGGCATTGTGGGGT